GGGCTGCTTTCAAAACAGGAGAAGGACCAACAAATCTGCTCCTCCTCTAACGTAAATCAGAGTGGCGGAATTTGTGACCCTTCAAACGTAGTGGGGTTTGCAAGTCTCGTCATCTCTCACCAGAGGCTATCTCAGCTGCAGCTGCTGGGAATCGAATTCCTCATAACATCTGGAGAACCTGAGGTGCTCCGATCCTGCTGTAAATGCCTTTGCAAACATTATTTCCTGGCAGGGATCATGGCAGTGCATCCAGCTTTCTAATAATGTCTCATGATTTCCCCCAGCATGAAATGAGATGCCAAGCGTCATTTTCGGTGTAGGTCATAGTTAGCCCTCACGTTACCTCTAATCCTCTTTCCCCAAGGGATATGGGTCGGTTGTTTGGACATGGGAAAAGGAAAGGGAGAAGGTGGCAGCTCATCTTGTGAGAGTTGTTTGACATTCCTAATATATCACTCATCTACACATACATTGCATTGTCTACTGGAAGGAAAGGAAAGGTGTTTAGCCTCATCCTCTCCATCTCAAATTCTGGGGGGTGTCTAGTCAGGGAGATCCTAAGGGCACCCTCATCTCTTCATACACTTTGTTGGTGTCACTGTGCTACCCTGGGCCATCAGCAGGTTCTTGCCAACATTCGGGTGGAACGAGAAGAAAATCCAGACATGCTGTCTTGAACAAGCTGCCATGCCAACACAGTAGCTCCGAAAAGTGAGCTGCTCTCTTATGTTTTACTGGCAGATGGGTGTGTGTGTGTGGTGTCGTTGGCTCTCCCTGTGCATTTCATAGCTGCGCAAGCATACAGCTAATGTAAATAGTCATCCTCCTCTCTATTGCCTGTGGAGGGGAAAAAACTCATTAATTTTGCCTGGCAAAAGCCACTTTTTCTTTCTCATTTCAGTGACGTGTTTTCTCGTCCTCCCCTGAGCCTTAAGCATAGTTTTGATTACAAACTGAAACAAATAGTACAGTAACACAATAGTACAGCGTGCTGCAGTTACTTCGCATCATTCTGTTCTAAAATGTGTATTTCCTTTTCTAAGGCAGGCGCCAGGGCAGCAAAAGAATGATGATTAAAGTGGCAGCTTAGTGAGCGGAGACTGAGGAACACTGTGGTGGAACACCGCTTAAGAAGCCAGGAGGACTATTGCTGGCTGAGACTAAAACATGTCCTCTTTGATCTTCTTCTTATTTCCATTCACAACTGTTGCCATCGACTACATGTTCCTTAGGGTCTACTCTAGACAACAGCTTGTTGTTGTTTAGTCGTGTCTAACTCTTCGTGACCCCATGGACCAGAGCACTCCAGGCCCTCCTGTCTTCCACGAAGACACAAATTCATGTTGGTAGCTTCAATGACACTGTCCAACCATCTTGTCCTCTGTCGTCCCCTTCTCCTCTTGCTTTCACACTTTCCCAACATCAGGGGCTTTTCCAGGGAGTCTTCTCTTCTCATGAGATGGCCAAAGTATTGGAGCCTCAGCTTCAGGATCTGTCCTTCCAGGGAGCACTCAGAGTTGATTTCCTTCAAAATGGATAGGTTTGTTCTCCTTGCAGTCCAGGGGACTCTCAAGAGTCTCCTCTGGCACCACAATTCAAAAGCATCAGTTCTTCGGTGGTCAACCTTCTTTATGGTCCAGCTCTCAATTCCAGAGATTGCTACTGGAAAAACCGTAGCTTTGACTATCTGGACCTTTGTTGGCAAGGTGATGTCTCTGCTTTTTAAGTTGCTGTCGAGGTTTGTCATCGCTTTCCTCCCAAGAACGAGGCATCTTTTAATTTCGTGGCTGCTGTCACCATCTTCAGTGATCATGGAGCCCAAGACAACAGCTTGGTGTGGTCTATTTTACTGTAGATATGGCTGAAATCCTGTTGCTTAGCATTGTATATCATAACTAGAGTAGGCCAGCTAAATCATTGAAACTTATGGAGGAATGTACTTAACGTATCCTCACTGACTCAGTGGGCTTACTCTAATTATGACTTACTGCACGAAACAACAGCATTTCAGCATTGTCACATTCACAAAAGCAAAGTCAGCACACTGTATCTGATTCCATGTCCAATCATTTTTGTATACACGGGGGTGGGGGGAGTGTCAAAAACCAGATGGCTCATCTGGTGTTAAGAGATACAAAGCTGATATCTGGACCTTTGTTGGCAAGGTGATGTCTCTGCTTTTTAAGTTGCTGTCGAGGTTTGTCATCGCTTTCCTCCCAAGAACGAGGCATCTTTTAATTTCGTGGCTGCTGTCACCATCTTCAGTGATCATGGAGCCCAAGACAACAGCTTGGTGTGGTCTATTTTACTGTAGATATGGCTGAAATCCTGTTGCTTAGCATTGTATATCATAACTAGAGTAGGCCAGCTAAATCATTGAAACTTATGGAGGAATGTACTTAACGTATCCTCACTGACTCAGTGGGCTTACTCTAATTATGACTTACTGCACGAAACAACAGCATTTCAGCATTGTCACATTCACAAAAGCAAAGTCAGCACACTGTATCTGATTCCATGTCCAATCATTTTTGTATACACGGGGGTGGGGGGAGTGTCAAAAACCAGATGGCTCATCTGGTGTTAAGAGATACAAAGCTGAAGCATTCTTGTGCTCCTGTAAGAATTGATGATTTCCCATGAAATTTGCTTTGATGCAGTTTCTCACTGTGGCCCGAGGCAAACCAGTTAAATTGTCTCTTTCTCTGTCTCTCACCAGCCAGCATCAGTGGGGTGAGAAACTAGAAGTTACAGTTTGTACAGTTCTTTGAAGGGGTCAAACAATGTGCAGAGACTGCAGTCTGTAATGCTATTAGCTGTTATTACCACCATGGGCAAATTGCATTCCACTTAAGACTGATCTAGAGGCAGAAATGCTCATATATCTCAGCACACTCATTCTCCCCAAGGACATTCATTCTCACCTGCTTAGATAATTACATTCCCCATCACATTTCCCCTAAACAGATATGTGTTACCCAGCAAAGAACATTGGCATTAAACTGCATTTTCAAAACGATTGCTGCAGAGCCCCTATAAAATCTACAGCAGATTCCTTTTAAAAGATTTTCCATTTCATTAATTTATTTATTCATTAATTTTATTTTGTTTTGTTTCTATATCATCTTATCTGGCTACCAAGGTGACTCTGTGTAATTCAACAAAAAAAATAGGACAATAATTGACATCGTAAGAACATAAGAAGAGCCCTGCTGGATCAGGCCAAGGGCCCATCTAGTCCAGCTTCCTGTATCTCACAGTGGCCCCACCAGATGCCTCTGAGAGCAGACGAGACCACTAGATAGCTGTGTTCTGATCCCTCTTCCCCTGCATGTGGCATTTGGAAGTACCTCCTTTTTAAGCCTGGAGATTATACATCCCCATCATGGCTTGTAACCTGCGATGGACTTTTCCTCCAGGAATCTGTCCAATCCCCTTTTAAAGGCATCTAGGCCAGATGCCATCACCACATCCGGTGGCAAGGAGTTCCACAGACTAACAACACGCTGGGTCAAGAAATATTTTCTTTTGTCTGTTCTCACTCTCCCAAGTGGATGCCCCCTGATTCTGGTATTGCGTGAGAGGGGAAAGAACTTCCCTCTATTCACTTTATCCATCCCCTGCATAATTTCATATGTAACAGTCATGACCCCCCCTCAGGCGCCTTTTCTCTAGACTAAAGAGCCCCAAACGCTGTATCCTTTCCTCACAAGGGAGGTGTCCCAGTTCAAGAATCATTTTAGTCACTCTCTTCTGCACCTTTTCCATTCCACCATGTCTTTTTTGAGGTGCAGCAACCAGAACTGTATGCAATACTTCACGTGCGGCCTTACCAGCGTTTTGTACAATGGCATTATAATGTTGTTTTATTTTCATTCCCCTTTTTAATGAGACCTAGCATGGAATTGTCCTTCTTCACTGCCGCCACACACTGGGTTGACCCTTTTATCGAGCTATCCACCAGCACACCAAGATCTCTTTCCTGATCCATCACAGATAGCTCAGAACCCATCAGTTGATAAATAAAGTTTCGATTTTTTTTTTTGCCTCCATGTACATTACTTTAAATTTTCCTATACTGAAATGGATTTTCCATTTTGCTGCCCATTCTCCCAGTTTGGAGAGATCCTTCTGAAGCTCTTCACGATCCCTTCTGGTCTTCACCACCCAGGAAAATCATGTGTCATCTGCAAACTTGACCACTTCACTGCTTATCCCTGTCTCCAGGTCATTAATGCAACGGGCATTAAACAAGAATAGTAAGCTACCAGATGACACAATGTACACAATATCAGGTGAAAATGGATATGTCAGTTGTTTTGGCACATGAGTTACTTGCAAGTTAATTAAAGGTGCCTTTAAAAGAAAGGTCTTGACTGAGTAATTGAAAAGAACTGCAGCTGCACTAGGAGTGCATTCCAAAGATGAGGAGCTAACACAAAGAAGACCCCATTTGTAACCCAGCTGATCAAGACCTGACACAGCTAGATGTGAATGTGCATCTTCTTCAGCTTGTATATGAAATCACCCTCATTCTGATGTGCACCTAGGGTTTTTGAAGCTGGTCGTACTTGTTTCCGTTACAAGTAAGGAACTAGTGAGAACAGGGGAACATGTAGTAAATGAAACTATCCCTCAGCTTTTCCAAGCTCTCTATTCTGACTAGTGAGTAACCATTTATATAACTGGTCCCTGGCTCTAACCTGAATCTAACTGAATCCCAAACCACATAGATAGCTTGTCAGTTTGAGGATTTGTAGCAAGACCCTCACGCCCTTTATTCAGCCAGATGCTGACAGATCCAGGGCCGATCCCAAAACAAACTTTCACTCCTGGAGTTTTTACTGTGAAAAAGCGAATAGGATTATGTGACCACTTGTGAGTGGTTTCCCATCTCTTCGACGTAGCCAGCAGTGGATCCAAAGGTACAACAGAAGTGAGGAACCCCATGATGATGATTTAGATGGCTTTTCTCTGACTTGTTTCTTCTGTTTTTGCAGCTGCCCCAAACTTGGGTGCAACAACGATGAAGTCAAGAAAATCCACTTGGTGTCCGACGAAGTCCTCAAAAGAACAATCGACAGTCAAAATCAACATAGGTGGTGAACACAGTGGAAGTCAGCCGGTGCTTCGTTAGTTGTTGTGATAAAGAAAATGTGTTGTTAGAAAAGATTCCCTCAGATAAGTGGCTGGTGGACAGGTGGTTGTGTAAGAGATTGTTATTTCAAATATTCCAATTGCAGGCAAAGTTGAAGGACTGGACTTTTGCTGAAGGCAGCTCTTTTGCTCCTCAGAGACTGCCAGGTGTAAAATATTAGTTTTTCTTATTAATGTTTTAAAAAATTCCACTGTGCATTTTGTAAATAAAACTGAGTGAACCATTCTCGGCGTTGTCTTCTTCTCCTGCAAACCTTATTCATATTACATTACAGAGGGTGCCTTAAATCAGAGGTGGTTGGAGTGTAATTCTCTGGAAGCTATTGGATCACAACTCCTTTCAGTCCTAGCCACGTGGCCAATAGCAGGGAATGCTCGGAAGGGCAATCCAAGAACAGGAAACCACCCTTGCCTATCTCTTCCCTATATTTATTTTGTTTGATGTTTTAATGGGGATTTGACATATACATCTGTTTATTTTGTTTATATATTTGTGTGAATTTGCCACCTTCTGCAAAAAAAAAAAAAATTGACACGCAAAGTGGCATGCTTGCTCTTGTATTTAAAAGTCCACTGTAAGAAAGCCTTTGGAATCCGTTGGATTATGTGCTATTAAAGATATTTCCAGATAAATGCTGGGAATTGCTGGCTCAAAAAGAAAGGACCACCAGCGTATTCACAGTCATGTAGTGTACTCAGTGAACTGCGAAGGTGAGAGGAAGAGAAGTCAGCAAACAACCAATACAGTGGTGCCTCGCTTGATGAGGATAATTCGTTCCATTGAAATCGCTGTTAAGCGAAATCCTCGTCAAGCGAAACGAAAAAGCCCATTGAAATGCATTGAAAACTGTTCAATGCGTTCCAGTGGGCTAAATACCTCAGCATCCAGGGAAGATTCTCCATGGGGAGGCCATTTTCAGTGCTTGTAAAGCAAGGAATCCATCCTAAAACACAGAGGGGAGTCACTTTGCCCAGCGGGCGGCCATTTTAGAGCCGCCAGTCAGCTGTTTAAAAAGTGTCATCTAGTGAAAAATCAGTTCCCGAAGCAGGGAACTGATCATCGTCAAGCGAAATTTCCCTATCTAAACATCGTTTTACGATCGCAAAAGCGATCACAAAAACTTCATCGTCAAGTGGTTTTGTCATTTAATGAGGTAATCGTTAAGCGAGGCACCACTGTATATATATAAAGGAGTAACCCAATATACATCTACTATAAAAATATCAAACAGACATAAAAACCACTCATTTGCTATGCATAGCTTAATAAAAGAAACTGAGAGCTTGTATGTAAAAAATGTAACATAAACGTTACTAAACCTACAAGACAAAAAAAATACATACCAAAAAGAGTTTGCTGGTAAAACGGAACAAAATGACTTAGCTTCAGGAGAAAAAACATAAAGCAAGCTGAATCAAAGAACAAGCAGAAATATCAAGAGGGCCTGTTCCAGATCCTTGTCACTGACCTTTTCATCAACATTGGCCACTACATCACCTTCTGATGGCTTACTGTTTTCTTCTACATCTATATCCTGTTCTCCCTTTAATATGGATTGCAAAGGGACAGGTGTTAATGTATCTAAAAGAGGTACATTGTAAGGTTGTGAGTTATCATCTAAGATGGTGCCTCTCTTGGCGATTTTCTTTTCTTCATCAAAATGAGTGACATGCTTTACACTAATGTTTCCAGTTTTTAAGTCCATTACTCTATCCGCTAGAACCAGGGGCATATCCAACTAGTATTGTTGGTTCAGAGCTTGGACTCAATTTGCTACTTCTATGTGCCGGGATATAAGCAAATGCCTGACAACTGAAAACTCTGATGTGTTTCAAACATGGTTTTCTATTGCTCCATAGTTCAAATGGAGTACATACAGTATACTGTATTTTGTAGGGAGTCTATTCTGAAGATAATTAGCTGTCATAACTGCTTCTCCGCAAAACCTATTGGGTAATTCAGCATCTGCAAGCATCCATCTTGTCATTTCTAGCAAGGCCCTCCATTTTTTCTCCGCAACTCCATTTTGTTCGCGAGTATAAGGGACAGTTCTATAATGCATGATTCCATGTTCCTCAAACAATATTTGGGTGTTCTGGGAAATATACTCACCACCATTATCTGAAAGAATTGCTTTTGGTTTTCTCTCAAACCTATTGCACACCATGGCAACATATTTCTGAAGGAATTCATGTGTTTGATTTTTCTCCCTAAGCAGACAGATAACGTTGTATCTTGAAAAATTGTCCATTAGAGTCAATATATATTTGTTGTTTGCTAATGATGGAACATTAATTGGTCCACACAAATCAGTATGTATTAAGTCCAACACTTAGTATTTCTTTTCTCAGGATTTGGATGAAAGGTAGGCCTAAAAGCTTTCTGTGTTATACAATGCACACACTTTGACATACAGTCTGTATCATGTGGCTTTACCTTAATTCCAGTTACTAAACCTTTGTTCTGGATCTCAAGGATAGGCTTATAATCACAGTGTGCCAATCTTCTGTGCCACAGCTGGAGATCGGCTTCAGTATTCTGCTGGGCTTGAGGTGCCCTGGCTATCTCCTGATCCTTAAAGAGATTTACTTTATACACACCATTAGTTTCAGAAGATTCAAGGAATACCTGATTATCCTTCTCCACTATACACTTTCTATCCTTGAACTTTAATTCAAAGTCCCTTTTATCTAAAGCAGAGACATTTAGCAAGTTGCATTCCAATTCTGGGGCATATAACACATTTGAAATATTAATTTTACAGATCGAGTCTGATTTTTTTCATACATAAGTGTGGCCGTTTCCCTTGCCTTCAACTGAAATGGCTCCTCCATTTGCTACTTTAATTTCTCCAGAAGCACTTGTGTCAAAAGTCTGCCCGGCGTGGTGGGTGTAAACAATTGCTACATCTGGAGTTATCTTACCTCCTTCATCCCTGGCTCCTTTTAAGCAACACCTGAGAAAGCCATTAAACTCAAAGTATGTTTTGAAAAGACAGACACAAGAAACAATTTGGCTTGGCCGTGTCACGTTTGCACAACTGGTGATAACCCTCACCCCCCAACGCTTCTTCCAGACTGACCCAGCTACTTGCACAAGACCACAGGAAGGGAGACAAGGGTCAACTATCTTCCACCTTTGTCCTTGGGATCACATTTGAGCTCTTGCTCATTGTTGTTGGGGTTCCGTTCCTCAGGAGAAAAACCCTATCATGTTTCCCTCACCTTCTAATTCCTAGAGCAGGAATGGGAAACCTACAGCTCACTAGACTACAGCTCCCATCAACCCCTTCCACTATGGCCAAAGGCCACAGATATGGAAAGTGTAGTCCAACAGAATATGGAAGGCCACTGGTTCCCTGCCCTGTTATACAAACAGGTCTTCACCTAACACTTATCTCCTGCTTTATCTTTATTACTCCTGCACCTTTATATCACAGCTAGGTCAGACAGGCTATAGCATCCACACTTACCTTGAAGGCTTAGTTTGTAGCCCATATCACCTTGTGTTCCCCTCAGGATCGGTTGCTAGGAAAACATCGTTCTCTGTTGCTGCCTTGTCCCCAGCTCACCTCTTGACTGTTTTTCCTGTGTTTTTCTCTCTCCTGCCCTGAAGCCCATTTCTGCTTGGTGGTTCAGAATTGCAATGGGAAAGGTCCTTTGCATCCCACAATCCATCATGTAATGTTGAAAACAAAAGGACGCATGTGCCCAGGTGACCACATAAAACAGTCTCGCACAAGAGGAGCAAACAGGTGCTGTTGCTGTTTTCTCTCTGCCATTGGACAATAATTCTGCTGGGGACACTGGAAAACAGGAAACAGTGGGCTAGGCAAATCAAAATAAGATCCAAGTTCATACTTTCCTTTTGGGTGTATGGCCCACATAGCTATGCACCTTTTCACGTAGAATGGCCACTCAGGTTCATGCTGGTCAACCGTAGAAGCATGGCTTGTAAGTACCTAGATATGTACAGTAGTTTCCTGGAGCTAATTACTTTGGGGTTATGAATAATATAATCATTGCTTGCAAGGTTACTTTCAAAAGTCATTTTTATAGTATTTTAGAGGTATGTTGACACAATTTTTTAAAAAAAGTCCTATTCTCTTAAGTTGCCAGGGCAGTATTCTTTGGGGTTTGGCTTTGGTTTTGTTTCTTTTTGGGGTTTGTTTGTTTGTATTTTTATAAATATTTCCATGGCACAATAGCAAAGTTGGCCACTAGAGGGCACAGAGAATCTTTTCCTGTTAAAGTAATTATAATATTTGTGTGCCCCGAAGTCAATTCCAACTTGTGGCAACCCTTTCCAGATTTTTCTAGGTAGTCAATACTCAGAAGTGATTTACCATTCCTTTGTTCTGGGGGCATACTGGGACAGAGCAGCTTGCCCATGGCAACACAGGTTGGCTCATCTCCCAGGAGGCACAGTGGAGAATCAAACTCCCAACCTCGGGCTCCTCAGCCAGACATTTAAACTACTGAACTATGTAGCCAGTAGTACTGATAATGCAATCCTGTTGCACATCCCCATGTACATAGCAGTGATGTCAGCAGCAGTAGCAAATCACTGCTTCTTGAAGGCTTCCATGAGGACTTCAAAGTGTGTGTCATTTAACTGCATTGTGTTCAAGTCATGTCCACCCTGAAATCGCCTTTACAGTGGGGATGTGTCTTTCATTAGTGGCCGTTTCCCCCTGCTGATGACATCACTGTTGTGCATGCAGAGCTACACAACAGGATTTCAGTCAGTGTGTTAGTAAAGTACATTAAAAAACCTTGTGCATAGCCAGAGCACCTCTGATGGCAACTAGACCACCAAGACTAGGTCACCAAGAAGTAATGATTAGCAAAAGTTTCTTTTAACATGTAACATTCCAAGCTCTCGTCCAAAGTTCTTGATTCAAAGGGGTTCTTTTTACCTTCTCCATTACACTATTACATACTCTTGTCAAAATTTACTCTTTCCCCTCTCAGGTGTCATGTTAGTGATATTGTTTTGTGTCGGAAAAATAAAAAAATACTGAGTAGAACCAGGACTGAAATGGCCATTGTTCCAAAGTTTCTGATAGGGTTGTTCAAAGTCTACAAAACTCTTGGTGATCCAGTGTCTCCTTTTCTTGTGCTGAAATACTGACAGTGATCTATAGCCCTTTATTTTATTTTGCCCAGCAGTGAGCATAAATGTTACCAAATTATCCCTGATAAGACCGTCACATGTCTATACAGG